TTGTATCTTCAGGGGAAAATAAAAAGGCAACTTGTTTTTCCTTGATGGGTAAATATTTGCTCACGTGGGTTTTTTACAGCCTAGGTATGTAAGAGAGCTCAGAGGGGGCGTATCCTGCACACACACACATGCATGTGTGTGCACTGACACAGGCTATTATAGTTAAAGGATTAAGCATCTTGAAGGAATAAGCCAATTATAAGAAGTTCCTGCACAGCAAAAATTAGACAACACAGTAATTAATAACCTTATTAAATAGCAATATTTGGGCACTGAACCAAAGCGTATGAATCAGGGTGAAGCATTCTTGGCTGAACACACTGCGTGAAGTGTAGACACTTGTTCAGAACACACTCTGTAGAACCCAATAAGCTTTGGGGCAGTAGATCCACTTAGCAAGTAGTTTCTCCTCTTGTGCTTTTATGTTTCTGTGACTCTCTCTTATTTTTGGGGCCAGGAAGGCAGCAAAAGAAAAGGACCAATTCTCCCATTTTATTTTTTTTTCTAACATCCTCTTCTGTTCACAGCCAAACAAGCACTCTCCTAAGGCTTCTTTTAAGGAAAAAATGTCCTCAAGCAGAAAACTAATTTTCTTTCCTCTTGCTTCTCTTTTCCCAGTGCTTCTGTGAGAGATGCCTTGCAATGAGGCTTATACTCATTAGTGGTTTATGAGACTGCCTTGCCCACCCCTAGGTTAGCCATGAGGAGGTGTCACTGCAGCCTGTGAGGGGTCTGTCCCATGCACCCAGAGCCACCAAGGGACAGAGTGACCTTGGGCTGAGCTGCTGTGGCACGTCCCTGGTGCTGGCCACAGGCTGGCAGCGCATGGCTTGCACTGGTGGCTTCTCTGTGTCTCCAGTTTCTGTACAGAAGAGCAGGACTCTCAGGCTGCCATCTGATGTGTGCACAAGTGTGGGAGGATGCGGGCCAAGCACAGCCTGTATCCTGCCTTTCCAGACAATTATAATTTTCTTCTGAAGCTACACAGCTGGAGCAGTAGTGTAGCCTCAGATACCAACATGGACATGCATGGAAGTCTCTGCAACTGCTTGGGTGACCTGAAGCATGGAAGATGCCCTAATTCTAAAAAAGAGCTGCTGTAACCAGTGGCAAGGCACAGGTGCCCACTGAGCAGGATTGGGACATGTGGGATGCTTTGCTTCTTGGCCCCAACTGCAACAGCAGTGATTTGCCTCCTGATGTTCTGCTTGACACAGTAAATAGTTTTGAATATCTGCTTCTTTTTAAAAGCCTACTTTATATCATCTGTAAGAAAAATCAAATATGCAAATTATGTAATCAATTAACATTTTTGTAGTTTTCTTTGGAGCGGCAGTGATAAATGGTGTTATGTTTTCAAAAATCAGTTACCTCCCTTGCAAATGTTTCACTTGAGGCTGTAAGGAACTGAGGTGAAGGAAACAACCGTTCTTTCAATACTAAAGATTTTTTATGGATATCCTGAATGTGTATGTGACAGTTGTAGAGTTGTTGGGTTGGGAGAGTCCTATGGAGACTCCTCAGCAATGGGAGAGCCAGCTGAGACAAGGGGGATGAGTGAGATGTGCTGGGCATGTCACTGCCAGAGAGAGGCCAGGGGATGTGCCAGGCTCCTTCCATGCAGTTCCTGCAGGCACAGAGCTATTAAGTGCCATCACAAATTCTTGAGCTCCAAGGTTCTCTCCTGGCCTGTGTTTCCTCACTACAGTGGACACCAAAGTGGTGCTTGGTTTTAGGAGGTTTGTGCACATGGCTCGTAAAGGAGCCTGGTGCCTTTCCGTGAGCACCTCCACAGCCGTGCCAGGGCCTTCCCAGCCAGTGCATCAGCTGTGTTCTTTATGCTTTACTTGTAAATGCCATTTCACAGGAGCAGCAGGGCACTCCTGGCAGCGTGTCTGAAGGAGTTATCGCTCCTCAAGCCCTGTGCTGCACCTGAGGCATGCAGTGATGGCCCAGGAGCGCAGCGACTGCCGTGTCCTATTGCTTACAGCTTCCACAGGGAATGCTGCATGCAGCAATCTCCATGTTCATCATGGCTAGCAGCTTCTTTACCCTCTGCAGCCTTGCTACAGTCATCTTACAGAAAATTTTTAATGTTTTAATGTGCATTAGTGTGTACACAGGAATCTCCACGTTCATCATGGGCCAGCAGCTTCTTTAGTCTCTGCAGCCTTGCTACAGTCATCTTACATAAATTTTAAGGGCATTAGTTTAATGGGTTTTTTTTAATGGTAACTTTCAACCCAGTATATGACAACTGGGATGAAACCTCCAAATTTTGGCATGTGGCCCACTCTGCATGCTTCTGTCTTGGACATTACCAGGGTAGAAGAACATAGTAATGGATCAGACAAGAGTTCTGCCAGTGCTTTAATGTGGGTGAGGCATGTGCTGGGGTAAAAAATAGAATTTTTACTACCACGGGCAAAAGTTCTTGGATAGCCATACTACACCAAAAAAAAAAAGAAGCTGCTTCTGCAATTACTTTTTTTTTTTTTTAATCTAGAAACCTGGTGTGAGCTATGCCAAAATGCTGTCCTTTTTATTTGATAGTGTAATGTGTGCATTTATTTCTTTTTAATATTGATATCACCAGGCTTAGCTGGACTCTTTGGGAAACTGCTGGTCTGTAAGATTGAGTCAGGTATCCTAAGACTGCACAATTAAAAGGATCTGCAGCTTTACTCATGAATGAAAAACCCAGTGACTTTTCTCTAAAATAGTAGTACTTCTTGGGGCGGAGGCAGGGGGTGGAATAAGTTAAAACAATTTTTTTTAAACAAATCTGCTGACTAAATTTAAATTAATTGTAAATCCCAGCTCAACTGAGCGCTCAGTGTCTCTTTAGCATATGCCAAGAGAGTAATATTGATGCCTCTGTCTTCTCTCTAACTAATCCTTTCTGAAGGCTTGGCCATACGTGACATTTAAGCGGATAGGAGCAGTTGCTAATGTTGATGGATACAGCTCAAGATGGGAGGTAATTTTTCCTTGCTGTGGTGGTGTAGGTGTTCCTGGTGAGAGCTGACACAGGCAGGTGTCACTGAAATCGAGGATCTTGTACAGAGCTGGAAGTTAAGGAAAAGTGTCAGCTCCATAAGTGCTCGGTGGGGTTTCTCAGACCTGTGGCTGAGTATGAGCATATAATTGATTTTTTTCAGTTCACTGGACAAACTGGAGGAGGGGAAAAATAAATTCAATTTTGGTTTTTCAAGGCTTTTTTTAAAGTGAATGCCTTGTGTAAAAATGGATATTTTTTGGTGAAAATGCTTCAGAAGATGTGTGGGTAGCTTTGATACTCAGGGTAACCTGAATATACCTTTGATAAAATTACTGGAAAAGGAAAAGAAACAAAAACCCCGAACCCAACCCTCCCCTCAGCTCTATCTGTGATTTGGTACCTTCACACTGGCAGCCTCACTGAAGGCTTTGCTCTCTCTCCTCTGGCAGAATAGGGGTTTATTGATATCTTCATTCATCTCTTCCTAGATTTCCCCTCCCCAGCCATGCTTCCAGGGGACAAGAGACAGTGTTGGGAAATAGTGTAAAATGGGAAATGGCATAAGTTACATTGGAAAACTGAGAAGGCTTGGCATGCACAATTAAATCTTGTTTTCATCCACAGTCTTGTATGTTATTGACTGGCATGGCTTTTGTCTCTAACACATCTATCTACCAGCCCTTCCCTCTGTCCTGCTGGTCCCTCACGCCTCAAAAGTGAAGCTTCAGCTCTGCTCTGCTCCTCAGCTCAGGGCATCTTTCTGTTTGGATAATTCTGCCCAGCTTTTGGGCTGTGCTGTGTAATTCAGAGTCCTCAGTGCCCAGCTGAAAAATACTTGGGTTTCTTTGCTCCTTGGTCTCTGAGAGAGCCCCTCCATGGTTTGGGGTTTGTGGGGGAGTGTGTGTGGGCTGCCTGGGGGATGTCTCTGCATGAAGACTGGAATCATTAGGTGAACCTAATGAAAGTGCAGCCTCCCCGAGCTGGTCTGCTCCCTCCCACCAGCTTTGCCCTGCTGCTGGCCTTACTTTCTACTCCTTCTGCTCCTTCCCTCCTTTTTGTGGCATCCATTGAGAGAGAAATGTTGCTGTGGAAAAAGCACTGAAGGCAGTGCCAAGTGGTGCAGAGGCAATTGAGTGTTGCTTTTCCAGGTCAGACAGGAGATTTGACATTTGCCTGGGCAGCAGCTGAAGCCAGGAAATCTCATTAAAAGAAGGAGAATTATCAAGTTCTGTGGATTTAGCAGAGGGTTTATTTGTTGTTGTTTTTAACTTGGTGTTATTGCTGTAGGGTGAAATCCGTGTGGCTGAGTGCATGGAGGGGGGTTGTGCCTGTTGGAAGGCCTGGCAGCTCCCTCTCTGTTCAGGATGCAGGATGTGCCAGTGGCAGCTCCAGCCCTTCCCTGTGCCCACCCTGGGCCTGGCAGAGCCTTGCCTGGCACAGGTTGGGCTCTGCTGAAGGTGCAGAGCAGCTGAGCCCTTGGGCACTGGGCTCTGTGCTTGGCTGCTGGCTGTGCCCAGGTCTCTCCCCTGGTGCTGCAGTGATAATCCATTGCTGCAGCAGGACAAGGCACCTTTGGCCCTGCCATGGCTCAGGGTTTGCTCTCTGCCACAGGGCCCTGCTGAAAAATAAGCTGTTTTCTGTACTCCACAGCACTTGGACCTTGTTAATCACTCTGGGCTTAAATAATTATCTGCTGCAAATGTTTATATATGGAGAAAATAAAGCCTCAAGCCGTGCAATTTTTGTTGTACCATTTTTTCCCCTCTTCTCTCTGTGGTGCCTTGTGCATAAATTTTGAAGTCTTGAAGTTTATAACCTGCCCCAGCTGTAATTCTCAAAGCAGTGTGTTCCTGGTACTCTGCCCTGCCCTTGGTGCTGCAGAGAGCAGTGAACCTAGCTGAGGCACTGATTTCCTCCCTCTCCCTTCAGTCCCTTGCTTGTCTGCTCGGTGTCAGGGCTCTGACTCTTTCTCTCTCTTTCTCTCCCTTTCTCTTTCTCTCTTTCCCTCCATCTCTTGCAGTATGCAGTACTGGGCCAGGAGGCTGGAGCAGGAGATTGATGGAGTGATGAGGATATTTGGTGGAGTCCAGCAGCTCAGAAAGGTAAGCTGTCTTTCTTTTACCTGTGCTGCCTTTCTTGTGGCAATGGATGTTCTCATCTGCAGAAATCACCTGTGTGAACACTTGCACTCTGTCACCCTCTCAGCTCAATCCACGTGCAGGGTCATGGCTGGCTGTGCTTCTGGTTCCTTGGCAATCAGATGCATTTATCAAATGTGTGGGAGTGAGTGTGGTTTGTATCTGTCTGTCTCTGGGGCTGCATGTCACTGCTATCTAAGCATGTACCTCTCGAGTTTTTCCTATATGACACACTAAAAAATAATAAATTCAATGAACTTTTCCTCCAGGGACTGAAGGTTGGGTTTTAAATTTAAACTTGTGTTGGCAAAGCAGGAATGTTGAAAGGATAATTTTGCTAGCCATTGGAAGCTCCTTGTTTTTAAATATAATTGCAGGTAAAACTGTAGTTGTTGTTTGGCTACTGTTTCCAAGTGCCAGAAAACAAAATTCAGTTAGTGATGCAGGCATCTGCCTTCTGCTCCCTGAGTTAGCACCAGGATGCAGAGGCTGCAGAGGCCAGACCTGCTCCTCTCCTGGCAGCAGAGCTCTGGGTTGGGTTAGGGCAGTTACAGAACAGCTTCATTGGGGTTTATTAGGTTTGGGATCAACCGAACTTTGAAACCTTCCCTGTCTCCCTTTCCCCATAAAACTCTGCTTCCCCTTGCCCACACTCTTGTGCTGACTAGCTGATTTGAAATTGAGCAATTTGGAATAACAGTTAGGGTGTTAATCTAAAGAAAATAGACTCGTCTCTAGAGTGATAAATATGTTACCCCAGAAGAAAAGCATGGGTGTATTTGTGTTTTCTGGTGACAGTGACATGTTCTTCTCAGATGCCAGTTCTGTATGGGACTCCTACTGTCTGTCTTGCACTAGTAGCTGTATTGGCTTAAACAGAACTGCTGATATTTTATACTGTTGGTTGTAATCCATTGTCTAAACACAGAGGTCACACTATTTTCTTTTAAATGCATTGTGAAATGAGTTTACCTGAAGGCTTGCAGAACTCTTCATGGTTCATCCATTCATTTGTGTTCATATTTGAGCTCTAGAATGGTGTGTCTGGGCTTTGTGTGCATTCATTTCAACTGAACTTCAGCTGGATTGACACAAACCTCATGTGCAGCATGAAAAGCATATACACCCACTTGGGTTACAACAGATATTTCTGAATGTAGCCATGCATTTGTGCAATGCAGTTTTGCATGTTGGCAGGGTCTTAGAGCTGGGGATGTTTTCCAGGCAATACAATGGTGCAGCAGCCAGCATTCTCTTCAGCAGAGCACAGTCATAAAAAACAAAAGGATTGTTACTACATTTTTGTACATGTCCTCTCTTACAATTTATTCTTATTAGCCTTGATTTTACTCCTTTGCATGTTAAATAGGTATATCATGTAATTTTTTTAATGCCATAATTAAAGAGAAATTACACCTCCAATTTGCCAGCACTTGACTCCTATTGGCCAGTCAGTCAATTACAGGTAAGAGAGCTTCCCACTTTTCCTGTTTAATTCTTCTGGTAGAACATAATGCAGTACTTCAATGGATTAATACTGGAAACACTGACTACAGAGGGATTGAAAGGTTTTTTTGAAATCTGTTTTGGAATCTTCTTGTGAAGGGAGGAAGCTAATTATTGTATCTAGTAAATGCATAAACCAGCTGAAGCCAAGAAATGAGCTACTGAAAATTCCACTGTGCAGCTGTTTGAACACCAGAAAGGCCTGGTGCAGGCTGTCTGCTGATCTCTAGGGGAGAACTTGGGATCTGGAGTTCAGGCTGGATTCAAAGATGCAATATCAAGTGGATGATACTTAAGAACCACGTCACTTGCTAGTGCACACCAGCACAGCCTCACTGATGGAAAATGGCACAGAGTGCTTCACCTTGAAGAACTCAGAGCTGTACCTGCAGGGAGTCCCTACCCACCAGCTGCACACAGGTTCATTGGGGTTACAGTATGGGAGCTGCCTAATGTCATAAAGTGGTACTAAAACCTATTTGGAGACATGGATTTAAAAAGTTAAATTTAAAAAAGTCCACATTCTCCTGCAACCACACTCAAAATTTAGAAGGTGAGCAGGCAGAGGGGGAAGGAAGAGCCCCTGAGGAGCTGTGGGAGCTGAAACATGGTATAGCTAGAAGCTAATTCCACCCACTGGGATTTCACAGGAAGGCTCATCATTAAGCAAGAGTAGACCCATGCAGGGTAGGAAGAATAAAGAAAAATGAGGCAAGTAGAGCCTGTTTTTTGCAAAGAGTTGTTGATACTCTTTGGGCTTGCCATGCTGGCCTGGGCCATGTCTGCAGAGGGGATTTCTGGTTCATTGTGCATAGTGATATTAGAAAAGTGCTCCAGTGGGGGGGAACAGTGCTGCAGTGTCACCAAAGACAGAACTGGTCCTTCTGAACATGGTGGGGTCTGTTGGGAGGTGGTGGGTTCCACTGCCAGCTCTCATGGGACTATGAAGCTGTAGGTGCTGGAGGTGGGTCCATGCCAGAAATGCATCTTCCCTTTCCAGGCCTGACTATCAAAGTGACAGACCAAATAATAATAAAAAATACCCTCCTCTGAGATTTGCCAGATTTACTTACAAATCTTTTTTTCTTGGGTTGCTGTGAAAGGATGAAGATCTGTTCTTTGGTTATTGCCTGAAATCATAACTGTTATGGCATATGAGGCATGAAATTTATTGTCAGAAATATGGTGTCCAGAAACATAATGGTGCTGAATATTCTATCTTCCTGGAGCGCTGCCCATCCCAGAAAGATTTTTAACTCTTCACTCATTTCCTTGAGTTGGGGTACTAAATGTTCAATGCCCCTGTTTCCCTTCTGTCCTGCCAGGTGGATAGGCAATCCCCTGGGGAGATTTTCCAAGCTTGTACCATGCAGATGCTCCTTTTCACGAGGGGACCATTTTTCTGGAGCATTTACAGGAGGGTGAGAAGCTCTGAGATGTAAAGAGGAGTCATGCCAAGGGCTCTTCTTTCAGCTGTGAGGTATCACCTTGCTTCTCTCCTGATGTCCAGACCTTGAAAACACTGAAGAGCAGATGTCCCCATTAGACAGACAGACTGGCTGTGGTGGGCCACCCATATGCCTGAACACTGAATGGAGGAGCTTGGCCTTGCTGAGGTGATTGTCTGCCTGGTGAAGTCAGTGTTCAGCCCTCGGGGTGCCTGTGGTGCAGCATCCTGTTGGCTGGCTGGTTCCTCCAGGCATGCTTCAAAACAAACCCCAGCTCTTGGATAAGGGCATGTTGCTTTGCCTCCCTATCCTCGCCTCCCTCGCAGCTCACCAGAGATAATTGAGAGCACAAATCACTGCTAATTTAGCTCTGACTGGCACGATGATATGTGGGACCCTATAATGCTGTCTGAATAGATTGACATTCTTAAAATAATTACTTCTAGAATAAGGAATATTTTACTAAAAATACAACTCTCTGATTTCCCACTTTTTTCTGTTAGTGACTTTTTTGTGGCTACAGTGAACTCTTCACTTTGCAGAACAAAAAATATTTTGGTTTGACATTTCTTGCTACACTACACTACATTTCTCTTTCTCCTAGTTTTTGGCGCAAGCAAAAGTTACTAACTTTAGTCAAAAATGAATTAATATTTTGTCTTTCCAGCCTAGATGCTGCAAAACCTGCTCCAGGGTAGAGTGCACTCAAGAGAGTTCCCAAGCTGGTGCAGCCCTGTCCCAGCCTCCCGGTGTCCTGCTGTGCTGGCACTGTGGCAGCACCGATGAGAGCAGAGCTGTGTGTGCTGCTGGGCTTTGTGCCTCACTGAGCAGCTCCCCTGGATGTTGTGTTAAAACTCCTTTTCTGGATAGCTGGGCTGAGGCTCAAATCTGCCCTGGCTTGTTACCTAAATTGTGTTTGATCCTGTGTCTCCTGAGGTGAGCAGCGAGCTGGTCAGAACATCCCTTCCCCCTCCTCAGTACCTGGCATCCCTGGCTGCCTCCAATGGCCTTGTTTCCTTGCTGGCAGCTACTGAGGGAGCCAAAGCCTTTCAAATGAGAGGGGGAAGAGCTAAGACATGTAAATACTGAGCCCCCTTTCCTGCTCTGTCTTCCTTTCTCTCTTTCCTGGGACTGCTTCCATAGCAGGATAGAACTCTCTCCTGGAGGTGCTGTATCCTGCCACAGACAGGCTGCAGCAGGGACAGGGTGGGCAACAGAGCTGGACCTGAGCTGCACCTGCTCCTCCTCTCCAGCCTGTCAAGCTGGTTTTGTGCCCTCTTTCCTCTGGGCAGCCAAAGGAAGTCAAGGTCTGGATCTGCCTTGCTGGTGTATGGCTGGGAGATAAGGATTCTGCTGGCCTTGGTGGTGAGGAACCACCCAGTCTGTAAAGGGTGAGATGGCCCCAAAGCTGAGCCCAGGGTGGGATGTGTGGAGAGCTGGGCAGGCAGGGAGCCTCTGCCTGAGCTGTGCTTTGCCCTCAGCATGTACAAGATAACATATTATCTTCTGACTGCACAGAAAGGAGAACAGGCACAGGGGAAAGGGAGACTCGTGCTGTGCCCTTTGGGATGCAGCCCCACAAGGAGTTTGCTGATTGTGGCACAGCAGAAGTGGCTCAGCTTGGTCCTTATAATCAATGTCTGGTTTTACTTCAGTGGATTTTCATGTCTGTCTTCTATTCTTGCTTGTTATCTTGTACTTTGTTTTGCTAGTTTGGCATCTCTGCCTGACAGAAGTGCTGCTGTTCATTGCTCTGGGTTTTTCTGAACAGGGAAGGACCCTGCTGGCCAGGGCTTGGGCAGAGTGACCAGGATGTGTCCCCACCTTTGTCTCATGCAGCCTGTCCCTTCTGCTCAGTGCTGCTTCTCTGATAGATCCCCTCTTGTTTTTAAAGCACGGCCATGCTTTAGTTCAGGCAGCTGCAGGTGAGGAACTGTGATTGAGCCATGCACAAACAAGAAGTTGAATTAAAAAAAAAAACTATTATACTGGCAGAATTTTGCCTTGGGT